GTGAGTGTGAGTGTGAGTGTGTGTGTGTGTGAGTGAGTGTGAGTGTGAGTGTGAGTGTGAGTGTGAGTGTGAGTGTGAGTGTGAGTGTGAGTGTGAGTGTGAGTGTGAGTGTGAGTGTGAGTGTGAGTGTGAGTGTGAGTGTGAGTGTGAGTGTGAGTGTGAGTGTGAGTGTGAGTGTGAGTGTGAGTGTGAGTGTGAGTGTGAGTGTGAGTGTGAGTGTGAGTGTGAGTGTGAGTGTGAGTGTGAGTGTGAGTGTGTGTGTGTGTGTGTGTGTGAGTGTGAGTGTGTGTGTGTGTGTGTGTGTGTGTTGGACAGGAAACGCTGGCATTCTTTCCCTGCATGTTGCACTTTCCTGAAAGCAGCCAATGAAAGCAGGTCTGGTCACAGACTCCGCCCACATACACATTGTTGTCATTGAGTTTTAATAGATTTTAAAGAAAAACCAGCAATAAGAGTCAGAGGAGCTGATCAATACATGAGTGTCGACTGCAGAATGAATCTCATATTTATTATGAATGTAAATGCAGATTAGCGGAGCATATAAAGGCACTCCAGTGGAGAGAATAGTTCTGTGTTTGGTTTAATAAAGATCTGTTGACTGAACGCACAGCGCCTCAGAGTCTGTCTGATGGAGATCCTGAGATGTTTATAATGTGTGTGTTTTAATCTGATCATTGATTTCAAACAAGCTCCGCCCTCAGCTTCTTCACCATGGCAACCATGGCATCATTCATTGTGTGAGAGAATCGTTTAGCTTGAATCAAATCAAAAGTGACTCTTCACGATTCTTTGTTCACTATTCAATCTAAAGGAGAGAAAGACTCATCAGTCAAATTCTGTTTCACTTTAATCACGTTTTTGATTTATTGTTGTTTATGTTGTTTTGGACACGACCATTATTGCAATATGTGGTTTTTTAAAACGTGTCACGTAAATATGTTATATTATAGCAAGGCAAGTTTATTTATATAGCACATTTCATACACAATGGTAATTCAAAGTGCTTTACATAAAAGAAAGTAAAATAACCATTAAAAAAAAAACAATAAAATGATTTAAAAATTGATTTAAAGCAGCACTATGTAACGTTTGGCACTCAAGCGGTTAATAAACAGACCTGCACACATCCCGCGGAAGAACATTCCGACCGGAACTACTTCTCTAAGTTTATGTCTCTGGCGATTCACGCAGGTGTGTGTTCCTCCGCAGCGGTGACCAGCCTACAATAGTCCGAATATAAGTACTTATTATAAGTGCACCGTAGTGATTCGGAATAAGACAAAAACGCAGTTTGGAAGATGAATTCATGATGTACTCGCTCATTATCTGAACACAGAAAAAGTTACATAGTGCTGCTTTAAAATGAATAGAAAAATAGAAACTGATTATACATAAAATACAGTGCAATTATGATCATCACTATGGTATTACCGTATGAAAACAATATTAAACAGCAGTAACTTCCATAGCAAGAATCAAATAGCCTACAGTGTTAATAAAAAAGATCAGTATGACTGATATTAGCTTGTTTCCGCCACGTCATATAATAGCTAATAATTATAATAACAATAAAGGTAATATTATATTACAGTCCGCACTTTTTCTCGCAATTCTGAGTTTCTATCGTCCAATTCTATTTTTCCGGACAGAATTCTGAGTTTAGGCTATTGCAATTCTACGGAAGCCCGTAATTTGATGCAAAGGTGATATAATACAAAGAATAGTGTTATAAATGTACATACATTTAAAAAAATACAAATATGGAAAACTTTCGAGGATCTACGATGCTGATGACCATTAAACGAGTGAAAAGCAGCAATTTTGTTGCTAAATGTAGCAGCTTTTCACACCACCCTAGCAACTTTTTCTTCCAAAAGCACCTGGCAACAAATGTAGCTATTTTTCAAATGTATTTGGCAATTTTTTAG